ATAGATGTCAATCATGCCCAACTTGTCATACAAGTCATTGTGCTGCAAGTGATGAAGGCCCTTTGTCAAGATATCTACAAGTTGTTCTTCTGGGCTAACATAGGGAGTGCACACTTCTCCACTTACAATTTTCTCTCTAGTAAAATGCTTGTCCACCTCAATGTGTTTTGTCCTGCCATGGAGAACTGGGTTGGCTGCAATATTGATGGTAGCCTTGTTGTCACAATAGAGTGACATGGAACCGTTAACTATAAAACCCAATTCACCTAACAAGTTCTTTATCCACATAATCTCAGCAGCGTTGTGGGACATAGCTCTGTACTCTACTTCTGCACTAGACCTAGCCACCACACTCTACTTTTTACTTCTCCAGGTGACTAAGGCCCCATTTGGCATCACTCCGGAGAATCGCTTCTAGCAATTCTTGTGATTCTTTAGAGTAGAGTTGTGTTTGGATTTGCTTTCTCTGGAGAACCCATCCACTTTAGGATGGAATTTCTCAAGATGAGAAATTTTCATCTGCTCAATTCTCACTACGTCCTCAATGCAATTACAAATATGTGTGATCCTCATACACGTGAAAACATGGGCTTTTTGGTCATTTCTCCACAAAACATAACATGGAACGGGGAAAGCCCTAAAGCCCTTGTTCTCTCTTCTCTCATCTTCGCTCAACAGTCCCCTCTATGCTCTTGCATTTCTGTTCCTGTCATTAATATTGTTCTCATCGAGAAATCTGTGCTTAATATTGTTCTCATAAAGAAATCCATGCTTCTAGGGCTAAGAAACAGAGTATAGTTCTAGGTTTTGTTCGAGAAGGAATTTGGGTAAGTTTTTCTTTCTATTCTTGTCATTAATATTGTTCTCATCCGGGCTTTTATGGCTGAGAAACACAGTATAGTTATGGGTTTTGTTTGAAAATGAATTTGGTTAAGTTTTTCTTTTGGCTTTCTTGTATCCTTTTCTGCTTTATGAGTAAAGAAGATTGAAGGCATTATTTTTTCCCTTTTTTGGCGGAAAAGAAAGAAGGTGTTCAAACATGAAATCTATAACAAGGCATGGCTGTTCATTGTTCATGATATCTCTTTATTAACTTTATTTGCCTTCAGTTTCTTAAAAATCATAGACCCTTGTGCACAATTTCTCAATAGGCTGTGCTGAAGTATGTTATCTGCTAAGAAAAGAAAGATCTATTGGCATTATGTTATTTTGCTCGACAAGTTTTTTCTGTTCTAGAATACCAAGAGCTGAGAACTCATGTTCAGAAGGAGCTGCCAACCGTGACTAAGATTAGGTATGCATCCAGTTCACTCCTCCCAAGGTCCTATATAGCCAGGTCCAGCATTTGGTAATGGCTTATTATATTAAGAAATTACTGGTCTAAATTCATCATTTTGAAAATCAGGTATTTGTTTTAACAACAACAAAGACAAGAAGGTTGAATTGAAGGTAGAATAAAACATTTTACATAAAATGATTGAGAAGGTTGAACTTCAATATGAAACATCACTTCCCTGTGAGAAGTGTAATGAAGAATGATGAATCTGAGAGAAAGGTGAGAGATCCAGAATTATTTTTCATTCCTTTTGTTTTGTCTTAGCATGTTTATCTTCTTCAGCTTTACCTTTTGTGATTTGGGAGGGTATGCCAGGGATGGGGTCTAGGAATCTCTTAGGTGGGCTTGCACTCTTGGAAAGCTAGCATTGTTAGATGATTTCATTTTGGTTTCTAGTAAGAACGCAATATCATCACCTTTAGTAAATTCATTTATGGTTCTCAAGGAAAAAAATGAACGTGTATCGGTTTCTTGAAGTCCTGAAATTAGCTCATTTCTATGATTTGAAAATGGAAGTGGCTCCATCTTATCTGAAGTTGTTCTTGCTAAAGCAATTGAAAATCAAATTAAATCATTTCATTCCAGGTGTTTTTAAATTGGTCAAAATCTACTGTGTAGTGTGTAATGTTATTCACGAATGTTAAGTTGTTTTTAGCATTTAAGCACTACTCTTTTACATCAGACTAGAATATATTGAGAAGAGACCCATTTATGGTGAAAGCAAAATGTTTGTATCTGATTTTTTGAAATAGACATGGGTGGATGGGATGTTCAATTAACTTCTAGAATCCTTTATAGCACAAAGCGGCTACAATTTTCATTTTCTGGAAATATTTTTTTGGAAATTGGATGTTGAAGAAAGAGGAGTTCAAACCTGGTTTCCAAATTGTTTTCAACAGCCCAGTAGTTCAAACCCGGTTTCCAAATTGTAGCTAGGATCAAATGTTATAAAAGGTTTTACTTGATTTTGTTATAATTTGAGTCCCATCATTTGAACATAGTAGAGTACAATGTAGCTTCATTTGAACTTATTTATTGGAATTGCCATGGTTTTGTGTATTAGTCATCTAGAAAATTGATTCCAAGAAATTGTTTGCTGCCAAACACAATTATTTTTTTGAGAAATAGGAATCAGATGACTGTGTCAAACACATCTGATGATTCTCTAGATGAAAATTCTCAGAATCCATCCTTTTTTTAAAGGATTTTGAAAATAAAAATCCTCAGAATTAATGCCAAACAGGGCCTAAGTTTCCTCCCAAAAAGGTACAATATCCAGTAGTAAATTTTCTATCATCTACTGCCTCTGCCTAATTAGCATCTGTATACGCTTCAACTTTCAAATGCCCATACTTCTGTAATAACAAACCAGCCCCTAGAAAGTTGTTGAGATATCCAAGAATCCTCTCAACAGCCTCAATGAGTGGTTCTAGGGTTATGCATAAACTAACTAAGGACACTGATAACATAAGCAATGTCAGGTCTGGTCATGGATAGATATACAAGTCTTCCTATGAGTCTCTGGAATTGCTTCACATCTTTTATAGCCTCCCCCTGACTGTCACCCAACTTATGATTAGGGTTAATGAGTGAATCAGTTGGCTTCACTCCTAACTTGCCTGTGCCCTCTAATAGATCTAGGACACATTACTCCGAGATAAAGATTCCTTTTTGTGAGTGGGAAACTTCAATCCCAAGGAAATAGCACAAGAGACCTAGATCTTTCACTTCAAACAAAGTAGCTAAAAACTCCTTCAACTTTTGTAATTCAGTTTTCCAATCACCTGTAACCACTATGTATCAACATACACTATTAGGGCCGCAATTTTTCCATCACCTTTCTTTACAAACAATGTACGGTCTGACTACAATTGTTTAAGCCCCATCTGTTGTACAACCAAATGAAACCTCCTGAACCAGGCCCAAGGTGACTGTTTCAATGCATATAAGGGTTTCTTCAACTTGCACACCTTCTACTCACTACCTTTAGCACAAAAGCCAGGTGGCCAAGTCATGTACACATCCTCCTCTAAATCACCATTCAAGAAGGCATTATTGATGTACAATTCGTGAAGATTCTAGTCAAAATTAGCTGCAAGTGGAAGGAGGACTCTAATAGATTTCATCTTGGATACAGGGGCAAAAGTATTCGCATAGTCTACTACACATGTGTGAACCCTTTTGCTACCAATCTGGCTTTGTATCTCTCAACCGTACCATTAGCCCTATGCTTTACCATGAACACCCACTTACACCCTACTGGTTCTTTTCCTTTAAGAAGATCTATGAACTCCCAAGTGCCATTATTGTGTAAGGCATTAATTTCTTCCTACATTGCATCTATCCATTCAAGTTGGATAAAGCTTCTACCACACTCCACACTCTTAGGAATAGAAATGCTGTCAATAGAGATAAGAAAGGCACAAAATGAAGGTGAAACATGACCATACCATAGGTAACAAAATGGAAGATAGGATGGTTAATAGTACAAGATCTAACACCCTTTTCTTAGTAATAAGAATATCTAGAACATTAATAGCAAAAGGATAAGGCATATCAAAGATGCATTTCTGCCTCTTTCCAAAGGAAACCTCAAAAGCCACTTCCCTAACAAAGATGTATTCCTATAAATTAGGTTCCTCATTCCTAGCCTCCCCCCCCCCCTTTTCTTTTGTTTTGCTAACTTGTTCCCATTTACTAGGTGGTCCCTTTTTTCATCCCCTCCCAAAGAAAGTCCCTCATAAATTTCTCTAACTGTCTGGCTGTCCTAGCTAGGATCCTAAAGGTGGAAAGGAAGTAGACTAACAGGTTTGCTAAGGCTGCCCTTATCAGAGCTACCCTCCCTCCTAAAGATAAGTAGTTCCTCTTCTACTGACAAAAATTCAGTGCCTATATTTGTTATTCTACACAATATTGATTAGACAATGTTCAGACTTCATTTACTATTTTTACATGTATTTTATTATTAAAATATTATGTATAAAAATATGTCAAGTTTATTATACCAAGTTAAATCCAAACACCAAGAAGTAAAACAAATGAAATTCAGTTTCCCAAGCTATGGAAAAATACCAGGCAAATACAAAAATGGTTCATTTCCTTAAAAGAAATTTTCTTCTTCCTTTTATGTGCAACCAAATGTAGCTTTAATGCATTAGCTATTGCGCATATGCAAAGAAGCCTTCACTAAACACTTTGGTAGGAGGTTGAACCAATGACAAAACTACATAGAACATAAAAGACTACGGTGATAACTAAGGATTGAGGCATTATGTATACTATTTAGTCCTATAGAAATCCATCTGATATTCACAACATGTTGAGAGATTTTAATGGGTAGATTGTCATTGATGTTGCTTTGTTCTTTTTCATCATGGGTGATTTCTTATCACCTTCTCTTGTACTTCTTTTATTTTAATGAATCTTAATTTACCATAAAAAAGTAAAAGATAATACTATGTATTTTGAATTCTAAAATTCAAAATAACCATGATTCAGGTCTTGAAAAAATTTAAGGCTTTTGCTTGCAATACATGTAGGCCACAAGGAGCAGACTGTTAAATCTGTAGCTCCTGGAAACTTTATTGTCAAACTGTCAAATCATGATACTAAAATCAGGCAAAGGAGTAAAAATTAAAAATGAAAAAAAAAATAAAAAACTTACATGCCATAAGGAACAGACACATCTGGAAGTTGACATTTTTCCTTGTGACAAAAGTTATTAGCAGCAAAAATATATGAAAAGATATCAAGCATATCAACCAAGGTTCCTGCAGAAACAAGAAACAAGAGAACATAAAATAAGACCACAACTAAGGCTTAAGAGATCAAAGATAGATCTTCAATATTTTATTCATCTGTATCCAGACTCCAATAGTTTATAGGCATTATTCGATACAGATACATATATGCAAAAGGAACCTCAACCACCATCACCACCACCACTCAGACACATACCTTTTTCTTCCCTTTCAATGATGATTGATATGCATTGCAAGGGGTGATCAAGGGCCGGGCCAGCCTGCATCCCAGGCTCAGGCCAGGCACTTTGGGCCTATAAGCTTGTATTTATAATAGGTTATTAAATTTGTGGCTTAGGTTGAGCCATGAATGAATGATTACCCTTATTAGAAATCCAAGATCAATGGCAATTTCAAATAAGAAAAGCATGTATGATAGAAAAGCTCAAGATTATTTAATAGGAGTACAATTTGAGAAGGTTTAATATTTTAAAGAAAACATATTGGAATAATCAATGATCAATAGCCAATTTCATGGAGAATCACCCTTCAAAGGAACATTATTCCACAATATATCACATAAAATAATATTTCCAAAAATAAACTCAAATAAAAAGAACCAAAGAAATTCAAATAGAAGAATGATAATATAAAGAGCTCTTAATCCATATAGATTTTTTTTATATTTTTTTATTATTAACACTGATCAAAAAGAGATTTTTTTTATGGATTTCCCCTAGTGTTTAACAACATACAACAATACAAAAGTATAATGCATCATAACTACTGACAGAGAACAAAAGTGCATAAATGCGAAACAGAAACAAAATAAAATCAGCCCTGTAACGGTGCCCCCAGCCCAGGAACTCCCCAAAGTAATTCATGTGGTTCCTTCCCTTGTAAGACAATCAACCAAGGTGTTAGCTTATTTGGGTATCCAAAATTCAAGCAGCCAGCCAACACCTTGCCTTTTCTAATTTAAGATTCTTAAAGCCCAACATCCTTCCAAACCACGAGACCAAATTGGCAATCACCTTTAACCACAACACTACTCCAACAAGATGAGAAAGCCAGCTTTAGACCTTGTAGGAGCACAAACATCTCAGCTCTAAGTGAAGTTCCCTCCCCTCTCCCACAGTGCATGAAAAGTTCATCAGAATATTACATGAATGACCTCTAAGACCCCATTAATGCCCAATGAACCAGGATGGAAATCCCCTTCTACCACTAATCTCTGTAAACCCTACTAAAACTACCATAAGTTTAGCTCAAGCTAAACCACCATAGCCATGCGTGCAAAGCAGAAAGCTAATATTTGCCACCAAAACTCCTGAAAACTCCACCTAAAATCCAATCCAAGGTTCCCCAAACTACAACCATCAAAATTCAGTTTGACGATATTAAAGCCAGAGGAGACCATGAAGAAATATAAGAACTTCTTGCCAAGGATGAACTCACCAGCAGCTGCCAATTTCTAAGAATGCCATCATCAGAGTTTTTGTTAATTTTTAAATAGAATGTAAAAGTTACCCAAAAAAAAACACAATGTACAAGCATACATTGTACACTTTAGCACGTATTCTGTAGACCAGCATACACTGTCTACCCTTGTTATGCTATTATATATGTTAGAGTCGGAAGAATAAGGGGTAGTTTGGTCATTTTGTCATATAATTAGAAGTGAGTTGTCTATTTTATCTGTGTTTAAGTTGTGTCTCATACTCAATGAGGGACACAGTTGTCTTTTGCATCCTAATGCATAAGTTATAAATACAAGGTGGGTCGGCTGAGAATGGATGATTTTTCTCTCTGGACAAACCCTTTCTGTGTCTCCTCTCTTCTTTCTCTTCTTCTTCTTCTCTCCTTTCTTATTTCTGAACTAGTACTGAAGTGTCAATCGATCCACAAATGTGGTATCAGAGCACTAGAAATCAGTCCAGAAATCAGTTTGCTTCCTTCCTTTCTTTTCTCCTTGGATCGCCATATCAGATTTGAGTTTTTCTGAAAGTTCTCATCAATCAGTTGGAGGATCGATAAGGGGCCAAAAAGGAGTGACCGTTTTTGCTTCTAGGAGGTAGCTATGCCTTCAGTTCTTGCGGTGGTGTTCATCTTGGTGGTGTACTAGAAACCCTCTACTCGACAACTCGAAGAGGGCTGGTTCATGGACAGGTGTTAACAGAAATCTATGGTGAGCTGATCGCATTGCATTTTCTCTCTCTTTTGGACTGGGTTTGGACTATGTGGCAGTGCTGATTGATAGGTATGTGTAGGGACTGTGTTTGTTTCTTATTTATATCTGAATGTGTGTAACAGCAGTAGGATTTTTAGTGCTGAACCCTATGACAGTGAGTGCTTCAGAAACAGTTGCTTAATTGTGGTGTGGTGTGTGGTGTTGTGAGTGCTGAATAGTGAAGGGTGATCTCTTTGTGATTAATTTTTTTTTTATATAATGGCCACAATAGGAGAGGGCAGTGATAATAAAACTGGTGTAATGATTTCCCCTGATTACCTAAATGTACAAATAACCTCCATCAAATTAAATGGTGAGAATTATGTGCCATGGGCTAAGTCGGTGGAAGTGTTTCTGAGAGCCAAGAAGAGGGTGAAACATGTGAAGGAGGAGAAACCCTTGTCTGACTCTCAGGGGTATAGTGAGTGTGAACAGGAGGATGCACAAATTATGACATGGTTGTTGAATAGCATGGTGAACTTTATGTTCTTGGATACAGTCAAGGAGATATGGGATCATGCTAAGAAATTTTATTCTGGCCAAGATAACACCACTAGAGTATACAAACTGTATCAAGAGTACTTTAATTGAAGCAAGGAAATCAGAGCCTAGAGGAGTATTATGTTAATATGAGAAACCTTGGTAATGAGCTTAATGTGAATCGCCCTTTGACAAGTTTTTTGGTGAGATTGAAATCTGAATATGAACCTGTTAAGGCACAAATACTAGGCGGGTCTGATCTTCCCTCTCTTAGGATGTATTTGCCCGACTCCGGAAGATTACTATTGAACCTTCGGAGCATTCCACTCTCTCGGGCAGGTCTGATTTTGTGGTGGCAAGAGGGGGAGATCATGGAAATAGAGGTGGTGGAGGTGGATGTGGATTTCTAGGGAACCAAAGTGGTCCTATGTTCAACCATACTGGTGGCCGAGGTGGAGGTCGAGATTCAAGGGGAGATCAAGGTAGAGGATAGAGTAATGGTCCTAGGAGGTGTACATATTGTGGATTAGAAGGATTTCTGTTATGAATTACATGGTCCACCCAATACTTGGGCCAATCATGTAGTGACTACAAGTGGTGGCACAATTAATGAAAACCAACAGGCTGATCAGACACCCTCCACATCTACAGGTGCTTCTAGGAAGGAAATGGTGTCCCGCGTGATGAATATGGGAAATTTCTTCAGACATCCTCTCAGCAGAATACAGCCACTCTTGCTCATTCAGGTATGGCTTGCTTGGCATCTAAACCTTCACATTAGATTATTGACTCCGGAGCCTTTAATCATATGACTAGGACTTCAGGTGTGTTTTCCTCTCTTTCCCAATCTTCCACATCTCAAATAGTGACACTTGCTAATGGTTCTATTTCTCCCATTTATGGTGTTGGTGATGTTGACCTCACATCTTTATCTTTATCCTCTATCTTATATGTACCCAAATTTCCTTTTAACCTCATATTTGTTAGTAGGTTGACTAAATCTTTAAATTGTTCTATAACCTATTACCCCTCTTCTTGTGTGTTTCAGGATCTCAAGATGGGGATGAAGATTGGTGGAGGGCATGAAATAGATGGATTATATTACCTTGATGGTGGTGGTCCGAAAGTAACACTTCAGTCTTCTCCTCTCTAGTGGAACTATAGACTTGGTCATCCATCTCTCAATGCCCTGAAGTTACTTGTTTCATCATTAAGTCATCTTTCTTCTTTGGATTGTGGGTCATGTCAATTTGGAAAACACCAGAGTATCTTTTAGTCGTAGAGTTGAAAGTCATGTTTTGAGTCTTTTTTCATTAGTTCATTCAGATGTTTGGGGTCCAAATAAAGTAGTGTCGTACAATGCTACAAGTACTTTGTAATTTTTGTTGATAATTTTTTTTTTTGATAAATAACACCAATTCCATTAAAATAATGAATAGATACAAGAAGATCCCCTTAGAGGCACGAGGAGCAGCCTCTCCAAACAGCAAATACACAAACTACAACAGAGAAAACATGAACGTTGAAATTAAATTTTTGTTGATAATTATTCAAGAATGACATGGCTTTATCTTATGAAAGACAAGTGAATTGTTAAAAATTTCATGTTGAAATTCGTACTCAATTTGGTGTTCATATTAAAATTCTTCGTTCGGATAATGCAAAAGAAATACAACTCAACACCATTTCAACAATATTTAGAACAACACGGGGTGATTCACCAAACTTCTTGTTCTTATACCCCACAACAGAATGGCATGGTTGAACTGAAGAACCGACACTTACTTGAAACTACTCAATCCATTATGCATGATATGAATGTTCCCAAGCAATTTTGGAGTGATGTTGTTCTTACATCATGTTTTCTCATCAATCGGATGCCCATGTCTATCCTTGCAAGTCAGTCACCCTTTTTAGTTTTGTTTACTACTCTATCTTTGTTTTCTCTTACTCCTAGAGTTTTTTGTTGTGTTTGTTTGGTTCATAATCTAGGGCTTGGATTGGATAAGTTAGATGCATCATGCACGTGCTACAAAATGCATCTTTCTTGGAAGATGAATTGTTTGCACTGGCACACAATCACACATGGGAGCTTACCACTATCCCTCCTAGTAAGCATGTTGTCGGATGTAAGTGGGTGTATACAATGAAGTATCTCCTATATGGAAATGTTTAAAGGTTGAAGGCTCAGTTGGTGGAAAAAGGATACCCTTAGTTGTATGGTGTTAACTACACAGAAACTTTTTCTCCCATGGCTAAGATTGGTTCAATTCGGGTGTTGATCTCTTTAGCAGCAATGTGTGTTTGGCCTCTCTTTCAG